TCTCCAGCATTTATCATCAAATCAGTAAGCTTTTAGAGTCAACATTGGTATTACCTGTCAAATTGGCTTGATACCATATTAGAGCTAAGTATCTCCCAGTTCTCAATAAATATTAAATAAGAGCTCTTACTCCTATGGAGGTAAGGGATATAAAGAGAGTTATGTCTACAAAAATAAAGCAGAGAAGTTGTGGGATAGGAATGGCTGATACTCCAAGGAGTCAGCTCATAAATCCTGGCTTAATTTTAATGCCATGTTCTCCACCAGAGACCTTGCAGCATGGGCCAGTGGCCTCACCTCTAGTGCCTGCCCCTCATCCTCCCTTATTCACACTTGTGGGGACCACAAGGACTGGGGCCATCTCAGCTGTGTGTCCTGCCATCTCCATTTGTCCTAGAAGGGGCTGCAGAATTGAACAGAGTTAGAATGCTCTTCTCCGCCCAGAAACCCCGGGTTGGATCCTACAGCTGTGACTGGTCAAGGAGACTGCCAGCAGTAGGCTGTCCTGACAAATTCCTTTAGAAGAAATCCCAGACAAGGGACTGTGTGTGTGTGTGTGTGTGTTTTAGAACTTTCAAGAACATGACACTGAAATCACATGAATAATTTTTCTTGATCTTTTTAGACATTGAACCAAGCAACAAGAAGTTTCTCTTTCTTTTTTTTTAGAAGTTTCTCTTTCTTAAAAAAATTTTTGTACATTTTTCTTTTAGCCACTTATACACACATAAGGCTAACTCATCTTTTTACATTGCCTTTATTTCTGAGTTTGGCAAATATTGTGTGATTCTGTCATGAACATAGGAATCGGATGTTTATTCTTGTCTTGGGAGAAAATGAGAGACCTATAGCTTCAATATACTTTCAGGATTTGTACAAGTTAAAACTAAGGCAGAATAAGTGCAAAGATTGTGTACACACCCCAAAACCAGGGCTTTAAACCCTTTTACTGTATTAACATGTTTGAGTCTTACCTCAAGCACATCCTCACAATGGCTTGGAGACTGGAGCACTTGAACACTCTTCAAGGTGTAACCCTAAGTCTCTAAGCAGACCTGGCCGTATGTCAATCAAAACTGAAACTGAAGGAAATGTGTCAGGGCAACCTGTTTATTCTAGGGATATATGCTGTATGTATATCACCCACAGTTTTGTAGGAACTCTCCCCACACTTGTTGGGTCTTGTTTCTATGAAAATACCTTTAGATGACTGTTGCTATATCCCAGGGAGATCAACAGGAAAAACCTGTGATTTTTTTTTTGAGCAATTTATAGGTTTTTCCTTTATGGCTACCTTCAGTCTTGTAACTGATCATGTAATTATCCTGGATTGATGTTTGAGAATCTGAGAACTGATTTGTGATCTGCTTTAAACATGGCACAGGGGTTATACAATCCTGCCAATTAACTTCATTTCATTGTTCATTCTGATTTTTCCCCTTTGCCTTAATTGCTTTATCTAATCCTGCTCCATACTTCACATAATGCATATAATACAAAAATATATATGCTGTAAAATACTATGTATTTTTGTCAGCCACCACAAACCCCTTTCATAAGGAAAAATTTAAACAAATAATAGTGAAATGAATTGTGTCTCCACTTGGTGGTGGCTTGTCCTTTATAGTAATTCGTCTTTTTAATTGATCTCTACTAATACTATGTTGATTTTCTACAAATAAGATGTTGGAGTCCCTTAAAAAGGAGTGAGCAAAATGGAGGAAGGTGGTCAAAAGGTGCAGATTTCCAGTTCTAAGATAAATAAGGCCTGAGGATATAATGTCCAACTGAGTGATTACATTTAGTAACACTGTATTGTATATTCGAGAGTTGCTAAAACAGATGAAAAGTTCTCACAAGATGAAAATGGTAACTTTTTATGCTGTATATCAGAAATTGACACATTGTAACTGACTATACTTCAATAAAAATAAAACACCAGCTTAAAAAAAATGGTAACTTTGTGTAGCAATGGATGGTAACTGGACTTGTTGTGGTGATCATTTTGCAATAGAGACATATAGTGAATCATTATGTTTACACCTGAAACTATGTTATATGTCACTTTTGCCTCGATTTTTTTAAAAAGGTAAAAATTTTAAAAAAAAGAGTGGAAGATACCATTGTTCTTATTTTGAAGCGTACTTTCTTCCCAGTGGCCTAGTTTTTTTCTTTTCTTATTTCCTTTCACTTTGCTTCTGTGTGCTGGCCAGTCATTCCCCTCTTCCCTGTCCCAGACAACACTCAGCAGCCCTTAACAATACCTGGTCCACCCGGGAGTCGAACCTACAGCTCAGTCTGCACTTGCCCTGAAGCCCTTGGCACAGCCCCCCAGCCCCCCAGCCCCCCTAGGACAGGATAGATTGTACAACTACCCACTCTCTGGTTTGTTTCAGGGAAGCTGACAGGTCTCTTTGGAAAACATCCCAGAGAGTGGCATGCTGAGAAGAAATCAGAATACACAGCCTCCCTGAGGAGCGTTTATGTCCTTGTCATTAATCTTTATAACACTCTTATGAAAGAGGCAGGAGGTGCATCCTCTCAGTCAGTGTTTCATAAAGGAGGGGATGGGGTGGATGAGGGTAGCTTATGCGTGGTAGGGGAGAGAGTTAGGGTATCAGGAGAGAGAAACCAAAGACCCTGGAGGTCCCTGCCACACTCAGCTGCATTCTGACATCTCCCTTGTGGGTTACAGCTTGAGTAAATGCAGGTTTCGTCTTTTACAGGAGTGTTTAACTTTTCTGGGGACTGGAATACATACACAGCCATCCTCTTGGCTGTATGCTCCCGCCCAGCCCCTCAAACCCCACACGAAGTGTCTCGTGCTGTCAGTAGCTGTCAATGAGTTTAAATTCCAGGCCTCCAGGCAAAGGTTTTCAAAAGGTCTCTGCTCCAGCTCACCTCTTCCAAAATGCCCTCTGACCACCCAGCCTTGGGATTTCCTCCCCAGGCAAATCTGGCCTGTTCACTTGGCCGCAGTACATTCTCTGACACCTCATTCTCCTCTGTGCTCAGCGTACGGGCTGAAAGTAAGGAGGCAGCAAAGTCTGTTCAGTCCCCAGTCTTCTGCCACACAGCTGCGTGTCAAGACGTGGGTTTGCTTTTATTACTTACAGCCTGAATTTCTTTCTCGGTAAAGTTGCCTGTCCCCATAGGTGACTTATAATTATTTAATGAAGCTGATAACTAATCTCCTGTATCATTCTCTATTATTTGTAGAACTAACATCCATAATGCAACAATAGAAAAGCAAAATGAGTGAAGATGAGAAAAAAGATAGCAAGATATCAAAATGGAGTAATAGGTAAGACAATATAAATAGAACCTCCTACAGAATGGCCTCTTCCCTGCAAGGTGGAGAGCAAACACTTGGGAGGCAGAATCTGAAGTGACACAAATTTATAAGCTCCAAGATGGGTTTATTTTTTAAAATGCTTAGAATGGTATCTCTTTAGGAGCCCAAAGAACTGCTGTGAAATGAACTCCTATTTATCCATAAAGCAGCTGGAAATTTAAAACTGAAAATCCTGTGCAATCTAATCATTTATGTTCAAAATGGTAATAGTTAACATCTACATAGTACTCAGTCGATGCCAGGCACTGTGAAAAGGTGCTACATCATTACCTCACTTAATATTCTCAATCATTTATGAGGAGGGAGATTTCCCCATTTGACAGATGAGAAAACTGAGTTCAGAAAGTTTACTTAACTTGCCCAAGACCACAGACCTAGGAAGCCACACAGCCTGGGTTTGAATCCAGGTTTTTTTTTCCCCTTGATCTTGTAATGGTCACCGGCAGGTTTTGCAAGCTTCTGAAGTGTCTTCTGAATTACCGTGTGAAAATTGCTTCTCTCGTGTAACACCGTATTTTAATACTAAGTCTGTTTCATGGTCTGCCATGTGTCTGTAAATTTTGTAGGATAAAACCACGTCGTGGACCTAAGTCAGACTCCTACTTTCACGGGATATTGTATCCAATAAAATCATAAATGTGAAAAAACCTTTGAAAAATATAAAAGCATTCTACAGAGAAATGAAGACGCCATCGCTATGAAAAAATCAAGGTATTCTCAGTAGCCCAGAGTAGTTTGAATCAAAACACCTGCTTCCCTAACCAATTAGCACACCGGTAACTTGTGAACGAGCTACCTTTTCACCTCCCAGTCCTGGGACTGCAGAACCACGCGTCTGTTAAGAGGCTCGGCATTACAACCTCGTGCTCTTCCAACTTACTTCTGGGCCACCACCACTTGCTTGGCTCAGCGGGACACATTTATGTCACGAGTTTCTCTTTAACAGGCACAGAAACGCCTAATAACGCAACGAAGTGTTAAGATGCAACCGAATATACAGGCTACAGTTCGGTCTCCACCAGGTGAGCTGATTTACCGACCCCGCCCGGGTTTTCAGGGTAAACACCCGCCACGTTAACTAGCATGGGGCGGGGCCCCCTGATTAACAGCCCCCTTCAGGGTCTCACCTGATCTTCCAGGAGTTTCCCCTCTTCCGTGTGTGCGAGGTTTGGAAAGCGCATTAAAGCAGCTCAGGGCAAGAGGATTTAAAACCCCCCAGGAAGAAACGATGAGAGCTCATTACTCGCTCGACCTCGAGTTATGAAGGAAACAGCGGCTTTATTACCAAGTGAAACGAGATGAGGCCTTTCTTCTAAGGGACTTTAATGAGACAGACCACGCTGTAGAAATTGTGCTATTTCAGGTCTGGAAAGGCAGCTTGTGAGAGCCGCTGTAGCTTTTCAACTCCTCTTTTCCTGCCTTATTCTACTAAGGAGAACTGTGAGAGCGGGAAAGGACAGTGTAGGCTCTCGAGGGGGGAAAGCAAACGTTGACCTGACCCTGGTCCTTGGAAATCAACTGACAACAGGAAGGAAGTTTATTAACCCCTCTGCTCCACCCCCTCCTTCTCCCGGGGTGGAGATCGGCTCCTCCTCCTGGTCGGGCGACCCTGGAGTAAAATGCCAGCAGCCGCCTGCTTCCCGCACCCTGAGCAGCGCTCCCAGCCGAAGAAGAGGCAGGAGGCGAGGGTGCCGCCCAAAGCCGAGTGGAGTGAGTCTGTCCATCCGGCGTGAACATCCTGAGCGAGACCGCCCGGACCCCGCGAGCCTCGCGACGACCAGGCACCACCCCAGGCGCCCCGTTGGCCTGCCTCTCTGCCAAATTGGCGCTTTGCACCCCAGCTCCCACCTTGATCCTCCAGCCCCACTGCACCCCCGAACCCCAGTGGCACATTGTGCAGGTGGCGCAAACGCCCCCGCCCTCGGGCGCCCCCTGCCGGGGAGAGGGAAAGCGGCGGTGCGCGGAGGAGCCGGGCGCAGGGCGGGGAGAGAGCTCCGGCGCCGGGAAGAAGCCGGGAGCTTCCCTGATGGTGCCGCCGCTTCCGAGCCGGGGAGGAGCAGCGAGGGGGCAGCTGGGCAAGAGCCTGGGTCCGCTGCTGCTGCTCCTGGCGCTGGGACACACGTGGAGCTACCGGGAGGAGCCCGAGAACGGCGACAGGTAAGCGCTGCCAGCCCCTGCTCGGTGCACGCCCAGCTTTCGGGTGCAGGCTGTGACCCCACCACCTACCCCCGCGGTGAGCCGCATGCCCTCGCTCCCTCGGGCTCTCAACTTCCCAGGAGGCTTTAATTCTGCTCTCGCGTTAGAGCCTCCGCTCCCTCACTCTGGGCTCCCCCATCTGTGAGTCGGGGCCCCGGGACACCCCCGCCCCGCCGTCCTGCCACCCTCCAGGGCTCTGCTGCTTCACCTCTTCTTATCGTGGGGCTGAATTCTCTCTGTTGGACCCTCGCCTGGCGAGTCCCCGACCTCGGGGTCCGCTCTGCGTCCGCGCTTAGCGGACGAGCGGCTGCTCGGCGCGCGGGACGCGGATGCCCAGCGCGCACTGCCGCCGCTCGCCCCGCGGAAAACCAACAGAGTTCCTCCAACTTTTTCACAGAGAAATCTGCTCAGAAAACAAAATCGCCACGACCAAATACCCGTGTCTGAAGCCTTCGGGCGAGCTCACCACGTGCTTCAGGTAAGTCTCGGGGCTCTGCCGAGTCCGCCGCCGCGCGCCCCGGGCTGGCTGGGGAGGCGGCGCCGCAGAGGAGCGGTTTGGAGGCGCGCTCGGGGAGCAGGGGCCACGGTGGTGCTGGCACGGGCTGGGTGGGTGAGCGCTCCTTGGTGCCAGCCTTTGTGTGTGTGTGTGGCTGCTGGGCCAGAGCAGCGACGGGCAGCTCAGCATTTGCGGCTAGTCTGTGCCCTAAGATCCTGAGGGAGGCGGTTTGCTGCCCTCTGGGATACTTGAGTGGTGGAGGTTGGAGGAGAGAGGTTGACAGTTCATAAGGAAAGTGGATCGGATTGTGGGTGTAAACAGTGAGGCAGAGCAAAGACAGATGGTTGCTTTTGCATTTGTGTTTTGTTTTGAAAATACAGAGTCAACAACAAGGAAATACTTGGCCCTTGACTGTCTTTTTGACCTTCTGCCGGGACAGAGTGTAACACTGTCACGGCCTCTGTGGGCAAAAGGCGGGCGGAGAGGGGGAGGATGTGGGCAGCCCATGGGGTTGTCGTAAGTGAAAATAAAAAGCATCAAGGTTGTTGAACCACAAGAAGGGGGAGGAACTGCCTTCCTAAATGTTCGGTCCACACATCACCTGGGTGCTCGTTAAATCAGTCACCTGGGTATTCGTTAGAACTAAACTGGGATAGGGCTGGGGAAGGTGTAGTTGGAAAAATGCTCCCAGGAGTTTCTTATTCTTGACAAGTGATATCACTGTTCCCTGCTTTGCAGCCTTTTGGAGCTGAGGGTCGATTTGCAGTCATTATAGGCTTCTGTCCCAGTGCCCTTACTGGAAGGAGGCATGTGTGCTTAAACACTTAAACTGCTTCTTAAAGGTACAAGGATCACACACTCCTCCAGACACCCTCTCTGTCTCTGGGAATCATGCACTGTTCAAGGCGCCAGGATAAATACTGGGTAGTACAAGATAACACGGCAATCTTCAAAAGTGAACTTGAAAGAGAAGTTGTACTAACGATGAATCATAATACTTCCAGCTGAAAGAAACTTTTCAGATGCTCAAAGGTTCAGGTGTAAGTGGTTCCAGGGCTGGGCTGGTCAGTTTAGAGGTAGGAAGCTACCATCAATGACATCACAGACCACGTTGTAACATCTGGCAGTGGAATGACACTGATTGCTTAAGTGAAGCAATGATCACGTCTTATCCTTGGGAAGAGCTCCCTTCTCTGGGTGGTGGGCAGTGAACACTGAACAGAGGTGTGTGAGTTGGTAGGAAAGGAGGATGTGCTGTTCAGTTGGCAGGCTGGAAGAGGTTAACTGGGTAAGCAAGGTCGCCCAGCTGGTGACCTGACCTGCTGGTGCGGGCACCAGGACTCTGCCTGGTTCCAGCTCTGTGTTTCATCCACGTTATTTCTTAGGACACATTTTTTCCCCTGTTACTACAGCATAAAACCTCTAATTTAACATGGAAAGTGTCCCTGAGATGATTTGCTCATTTATTTGGTCCCTGAAGGTCAGATTGCACATAAGTCAGTGACAGTTACAGAATGCATGTCCAATTTTCAGAAACCATTGGTGCCTGATGAATGTCCTAAGCTGATTTCATTCGTTACGCTGTTACTGTTGTTTTTCCCAGATTTTAAAAACTGTTGCTCTTAACACGAAGACTCGACACTAGCAATGTCTTGATGTGTTTCATTAACCCAAAGGAAGAGCTTATGAAAGCTAACAAAAAGGATATTTATGTCTTGGAGAAGAACACAAGAGCTCTGTTTAGGAGAATGTGAGGGGTAGGATGTTTTCACCTGGAAAAATAGTAATGGTCCCTGTGAATCTTAAGTGTCTTTTCTTGGTTTTCTTAAGAGTTGTGCATGTACTTCATCAGTCTTACACAATTTCTATCATTTAGTCTCTTCCTCAAGACCGTCAGTTGGCAGTTGCTGCCCCCACTTTGAACCCCAAGAGTGGAAGAATGCTGTGTGCTTGTTGGTTTGTGAATCCTAATTGTCCTGGCCCTGAAGACCCTTGCTACTCCCAGTGTGGTCTGGAAATTGGCACAGGCATCATCTGGGAGCTTGTATTGTCTCAGGGCCCCTGCCCAGGCCTCCTGAATCAGAACCTGTGTGTTAATGAGATGTGCATTAAAGCTTGAAGTGCTGCTATAGAAACCAGTGTCCTCAACCTGAGTCATGGTGCAAACCTGTTTAGACAGATCCTCAGGAGCTCAGAGGCCTCGGCAGATGAGCGGGTAGTCAGCCCTTTACCATGTTAACATAAAAGCGGAGAACCGTCCTTCCAGGAAACCAGACTCTTCAACTGTTGGATGACCCTTAATTAAGCAGTAAGTCGTGGAGCAGAGATACTGTTTGGGGAATGCTATCTGACCACATAGAAGCCTACTCTTATCAGATGTCTTTTGGCGAATGGCTTTTAGCACAAGAGAAAACTCCAAAAGTCACTTGTGAATTTGTAGAGAGGAATCTTTTAAAACTGACTTAAAAAAAAATCATTGATAGGGAGGATCAAATTAATACTAAAAGTGAATGTGGTAGGTGTGAGTAGCCTGATCTGCCATTATTCCTAAAAGTGTATGGAGACTTACATGATATGGAAGAGACAGATGGATTCAAATTAACCGTTATTCTGGACCCGACCACCATTTTTGTACACTTCTGTTTTACATGGTTTTACCTAAGTAGCACCTTTCTACGTTAGCCATATATTAAATGATAATTTGAGGATTGACTATTCAGCACTGTTCTGTGCACCTTATGTACACATATCTCTAATCCTCAGAGCCACTCTGAGGTGGTAGTTTTATTGTCTCAGTTTTACAGAGGAGGGAACCGAAACCTGGGGATTAAGTCAACTTGCTCAGAGTTACAAAGTTAATACATGTGAGAGCCAGGACTCAGATCCAGGTTTGTCTGTCTTCAAAGCCTGGGCCCTTTTATCATCCCACTGGTGTCTGCAGATGAGGCTGAACTTGCCAGATCCTGGGATTTAAGTAAGGAAGAAGACTAAGTTTTGATGGCTATAAACTCAGAAGGAGTGGTTGGATAACTCCAGCATCCACTGTGAGCATAATGGTTTTCTGAATTACCATTGACCTTGAGCTCTGTCTCAAACAATTGACTATATTATCACATTATACATAAAATGGGTTCATATATGTCTAGCTTTCTTTCCTTGTAGGATTTCATCTTAATCACAGGCTCTGTGTCTTGAGAGAATCTGCCCCGATGTGCATTGTGCCGAGTACTGAATGCTTGTGAATCACTGAGTGAATGCTAGTGGCTGCTTAAGTTTAGAGTACATGTTTTCTTTGTCATAGTCAGACAGAGGGTGTTCTTTTACCGATAAAGATTTCAGAGTTGGTGTGACTTATCTAGACTATGTGCTTGGTTTGGCTAGAATAAATTTAAAGTCACCTTGGCATTACCCCTCTTGGGGCTATTAAAGTTCTTTGTACGAGTCAACTTTTTTCCCCCTTTCTCAGACTACATAATTTGAACAAAAGATTTGTTCACCTTTCCTTTATTGGGTCTCATATCGAAATGACATGTTAAATGACATGTTAAAAATAAAGAAGTACATGTGAGTGTCAATGTCAAGAAATCAACCTTTATTAAGTCTGTCTGATAAAATGCTAACTCTTTGCATCCAATGATCAGTTAAGGATTTGAACGTTTATTAGGAGCTTCAGCTAGTCCCAGAAAACACTTGAGCACGGTTCCTGGTCAAGTTTTACAGACTGGATTTTTAGACCAAAGCCTTTGCAACTGTAACCAATATACAATGTACACAAAGGTGCACAAAGTTACAGTTTTGTACTATGCTATCAATGATGAGGAAGTGATGAGAAGCAGCCAGATATGGCTTTTTGGGCAAGAGAAGAATTGTTGTTCAACTTGGTTTTCTTTAATGTGGAATGTTGGATTGCATCAGCTATGATTTATGCTTTATGGTTTATGCATCTCCAATGGGAGGCTCTCAGCTGTATTTGTCCCATCAGTGGTGTCTTGTTAGGGTCATATTCCCATGGGAAATAGTGACCTGGGGATGCAAAAATTCCCCCTTGGAGATAGTGCAGCAGTGTTGCCAAATCCTCTTAAAATGAGGAAGTTAAGGTGTTATTTTCTGCAAACGTGTTGGAAACTGGAGAGCAAGAAGGTGGTTTAATGGGAGCACCACCAGGCTGGGAGCGTCGGGCTCTAGCTAAGGCACCATCAGAGGAAAGACAAGAATGTGCTATCTGGCAGGTCACAGAGTTCCTACAGAGGGCTTTGATGACAAAACATGCATGGTGGAAACTCTCTGCCCCAGTTTGAATTGCGATTCCACTTGCTTGGCGACCCTTGAACATTCCTGAATCTCTGTGCTTTAGTCTTCTCCGTTTGAATAAATGAGTTCCAGAGCTCCAGTGAAGGAAGTGCTCAGTGGGTACTGCCTCTCAGGCTCACTGCGGCAACTCCGAGTCTGGCATGGTGAGTGCACATAGTGGAGTTTTGAGTTCTGAGCTTTACAATAGACATTTTTGAAAGAGCAGGTTCAGACCATCGCCAGCAACACTGGGGGTGTTTCTGCAGCAGCCCACCAGCTGTTTTTATATGCTTTCCCAAATGTAGGCTAGCCCAGAAATCTGGTGCCTTGGGAAAATTACAAAGAGGGTATCTGCTTCCTATCTCCTTCCCGACTACACAACGTGCTCTATTCACGTGATAGATAGTAGGAGCCAGCAGAAGACTTCATCAGTCAATTTTAGCGGCTCTTAGACTTGCCTCTTACCCAGGATCTTTTTTTGGAGGGGGGTGATAATTAGGTTTATTTTATTTATTTTTAGTGGCGGTACTGGGGATTGAACCCAGGACCCTCGTGCATGCTAAGCACACACTCTACCACTGAGCTACATACCCATTCCCCCTTGAAGGGTCTTATTGACAGAGATGAGACTAGTAATCAGGTCGTCAGTCTGGTTATGGTCTCTCCCCACTGCCCCTCCATCCTGTGGCCAG